GGCAGTGCCCCTAAAGGTCTCAAGCAGCCTTTCGTTCCGGAGCTGCGTCTACTCGGCTGTGTGGAAATCGATCGCATATTTGCGCTACCGCTGCAGAAGGACAACGATTTGGTGCCAGTGCCGCTCAATGTTAAAATTAAATTGCAACGTGCACGCAACATGGATCAGCTGGAACACTTCATCGAGTATACGCGCTTCCTGGACAAGGCGCAGCGTTTGCTGTCGGATGCGCGCGATCGCCTGCAAGTAGTAGATCTCAAACTGTCGGAGAAGGAGAAGAAGGACTCCAAGTTTAGTAGTCGCAACAAGTTGCCCGTGGTTATGCTGCCATCTGCGGCCGTCGCTGGCGGCCTCATGGAAAATGGATATGTGCTGCGCAAGAGCGCCAGTTGTGATGCCTATGGCAAGGGCGTCGGCGGTGCAGCGGGCGTACTCACCAGCGCCGAAATCGCTGAGGAGTACAACGAAATCGATCACATTTATGATTATGTGCGTGGTTTGACGCCCCTCTCTAAAGGTTTGACACGGTTTGAGCCCATCTGCGAAACGCCAACAATCAAGTCGCATCACACGGACAGTAGTGGCAACTACTGCAGTCTCATACGCGTGGGTGCGCAGGCGAGCAGCAATAATGCTAACAATAACAACAATAACACCAATAGCTTAAATGCCAGTGGTGGCAGTAACACTAACCATAGTGGTGGTGTTGGTAGCGGCAACAATAATACCAACAACAACAACAACAACTACAGCAGTTTAGAGTCGGTGAAGCAGGCGAACACAAATACGAATAGCAGTCACAATAGCAGCAATCAGAGCCACAATAACAACAACAACCATAACACAGGTGGCAGCGGGGGTGGTAGTGGTGGTGGTAGCAATCATCACCATCACCACCATCATCAAAACCACAGCCACAATCATCACCACAGTCACACGCATCCACATCCACACGCGCACCCACATGCGCACCAGTCAGGCTGTGGAGCGATAGTAAATCACTACCATCACAGCCATGTGCAGGAGGACATCAAACCAGTGCCACCGCCTATCGAGACCATACCAGGAAAGAAGTTGCCAGAGAAGCGGCAACGTCCCACACTACCAAAGCTTTATCTGAAGAATACACACAGTGCGGGCAGCAATACGGCCACTGGTGCGACAGCAGCAGCTGTGGCGGCGGCAGCGGCAACAGGAGCGTCTGCATCGAGTAGCCATCATCAGCATCACCATCACTCAACGCAGCCGCAACACCCACATGCCGGCAATTCGACGGCCGCTGTGGTGAATGCTACAGCTGCAGCAGTTGCGGCGCATCATGCTCATCATCACCATGGCAGGGTGCTGACTCCTAGCAACAGCAACAGCAACAATAATGTTGTACACTCTGCGAACGGGCCACTTAGCGCCGGTATTCTGGTAGCGAATAAGGAATGCAATCTGGAACCACAGTCGCCACTCTTTCATATAAGGTAAGCATCGGAGCGGGAAACACTTTTATAGTAGGGAGAGAAAAATTTAATCCGACTTGACCCCACTACGGGTATGAATAGTAAATTGGAATAAGAGTTTGGACGAATATGAACATGAGGGCGAATACAAAAAAACGATGTTGAATATGAATTTGAATACGAATATGAGCAAGTGTATGAGTATGAGTATGAGTTTGAGTCTGAGTATGAATATCAGTATGAACATGAATATTAATATGTATATGAATATGAATATGAGTATGAATATGAACATGAATATGAAGATGAATTTGAAAATAAATATGACTATGCTTATGAGTACGACTCTGAATATGAAAACGTATGAACAGGACTTTGAATATAAATATGAATATGAACATGAATATGAGTATGAATATAAATATAAATATGAGTATTAATATGAATATGAACAGGAATATGAATATGAATATAAATATGACTGAATATGAATATGAATATGAATATGAA